TAGGGGAGCGTGACCGCCTCGTCAAGCATGGGTGCCATCTCGGTGAGCATCGTCGAAAAGACGTCGATAAAGACGCGCTCGATCGAGTCCGTCTCGGTCGCGACATCGATCATGCGCAGCAGCACGAGCACAATGCCGACTTGCGTGTCTTCGGCAGCGACCGACGGAAACTCGACCGTCTTCGATGGCGCCGCCACCTTGGCTTGGTCCTCCAAGGCGTGCAGACGCGGCTCGAGCGAGGCCCACATCTTGTCAAAGACGTTGCTGACGCCCACGAGGTTGAGGTGCAGAATGCTGTGCCACTCGGTGTCCAGCGTCCGCCGTAGATCACCGAGATCAATCGGTTTTTCGGTGCTAAAGAGCAGTCACCACGACCGACTAAGCGCCATGTAGCAAGTCGTCCGTTGGACGGCGCGAGCAGTCGTCACGCCGTGCACCTTTTGCAGCTTGCTGCGACGGTCCTTGCGGTCGTGGTACTGCCGCTTGGCCACCTTCTCGTCCGGCGTCACCAATTCGCTCGCGGTAAACGCGTGGATCGACGTCGACCCGATCGAGAGCCCAAGTGCCTTGACCAAGCCACCGCGCTTGCTCGGGCGACTGCCGACCCAGATCTGGGACCCGCGGGCGTAGAGGTCCGAGATATCGTCGAGCAATGCGATCGGGGCCACGTCACCAGTGATGCGCAAGGCGTTGTACGTATGCAGCAAGATGACCGACGGCTTCATGTCGTCCATGATCTGGATGCCGAGCACAAAGTGAACCGAGAGCGCACTCTCCAGCAGTCGCTGGCCCGCCATCCACGGGTTGAGCCACGTGCGGAGACGGACCTCGGGCGTCGCGTCGGCGTTGCTTGTCGCGGCCCAGAGCGAGAACCGGAGCGCGCCGGCTTGGGTTTGCAGCCAGTCGACATTATTGGGCGCAATGTCGGGCCGCTGCATGGCAGCTAAAACGTGCCGGTACGCTGCCTTGAGCGCTCGAATGGTCGACGCTGCGACCGACGCACACGTGATCGCGTTGCTTGATGGGCCTTGGACTGCGAGGATCGAGACGAGCAGGCACTGCGTCGCAAAGACGAGCTCGGTCGTCGCCACCGTGTTCTTGGCGAGGCCGTTCACAAGGGTCATGTACGGCTGCAGCGTCGCGGTGATGCCTTTGGTGAACCGAAAGTCGTCGCTCGTGCGAAAGCTGTCGTCGTTCTTCGACGGGCGCTGCGTGAGCACCGAGAGCAGAGGCACGAGGATGTCGTTGATCAGCGTGCCGTGCAGCGCACTAATGCATGGCGCCGGCGCCGTCGCCTCGTCCCACTGGAAGACGACATCGGCTTCCATCTGCTGTCGGTTGCGCAGCATGGTCGCGACGGTCGCCATAAGAATGTAGAGTTGGTCGAGGTTGCTGCCGCCGCCGAGGTGCTTGGTGGTCGATGTCCAGTCGAATCGCGGGGTCGCCAGTCGGCGAAGCGCGGGGATCGTACCAACCTTGGGCGATAGCTTGAAGAGACGAATCGTGTCCACGACGAGTGCATCGAGCGTGTCGTCGGCGGGGGCCCATCGCATCTTGAAGCAGCGCTCGACGGCGTCGCCAAGTGAGAGATCGGTGCAGCGCACGAGGCGGTGGAACAACATCGACTGGCCAAGAAGAATGTCGATCTCGCCGAGCGTCTGGAGGTACGGAAGCTCCAAGCTGAGCTCGGACGCGAGCGACTCGACGACGCGGACGCTGTGGTTGGTGACGGCGGCCGCGGCCACGAGCGTCGTCTCGCCTTGCTTGAAGGCCGCCCAGACAGCACGCACCTCGCCCATGAGCTCGTCCATGTCCAAGACGAAGCACATGGTCCGGAATTGGTCGGCTTGAAGTTGCGCCATGCGCGGATCCTCGTGCGGTGGCGGCGTGTATGCCGAGGCATCGAATGGCGGCATGTCGCCGTCGTCATCGTTGTCATCGTCGACGGCAAGCGCCGCAAATGCGTTCGAGAGACCGCTGCTTGTTGCTGGCTTGCGCCGTGTTGCAGTCGGTCGCAGCGGTGCAAGCTTGGACCGAACTGCTCGAAGCAAGAAGAGGAAGTACATGTGGCCGGCATCGGGCGGCAGCGACCGCGTCGCCATCCAGCGCAAGCGAATACACGTCGCGAGCTCCGTCCAGATGTGCGCTGGCACGGGTAGTCCCATCTCGGCCACGGCAACCGCGGCGGCCCAGATGCTTTTCGTGGTCGTCGCCCCGGACGTGGCCGTCGCCGTCGCTTTCGTTGCCTTGGTTGCCGTCGCGCGCTGGAGCCAACTGACGACGGCGTCGGTCGCAGCCTTGTACTGGTGCCATCGGCTGCTCATGCTGCTTCTGTGTGGCACGCAAAAAATGGGATCCCCCGCCGAAGATGGCCCTAGAACAAGGGCGTTTTGGCCTGTTTCAGAGCATGTCCTCAAATTGAAGGACTCCAACAAGGCGGTCGGCTCGGATTGGCTGGAAAAATGCAAATATTATCCTTGGTCTTCTCGCCGGTCGAGCGTTCGCCGTAGAGGATGCCGGGCGGCTGGCCGCCACGGCGCAGGCGGCGCGACTAATTTATCGACGACTTTTGACTGGACGAGAGCAACGAAGCACTTGGGTGGCACCACCGATATCCGTCCACTCTACGATTTTTGGTCATTGTCGGAGCGTTCATGCGACCGAACAAGCGGATCGCCATCGGCGGCAATCTCTTTGCATGAAGTCACGTCGCCGGCGACGTCGACATCGTCGCTGCTCGCTACATTCGCCAACGATATCCTCGGGCTGCTGCTCTCGATTAGTCTGGCTGCAGATGGAGGGCATCAGTGGCATCGACCATCGCTACGGCCAAGGCGCCGATCCGAAGCTGCAGCCGTACGTCGCACTGCTCAAGACGCTCCTCACGACCACGAGAGCGACGATTGAGCTTCTCTTTGCGTCGCAGTGTCTGCTCTTTTCGATCCTCGCGGTGCAGGGACCACCAAGTGACGCGATCACGTGTGCGTCGGTGGCGGCATCGACGCTCGACACACGTTCATACATAGATAGATTAGATAGATGGATTGATTGATATATCTTGATAGATTGATAGTTACCGGATTCGCGTACCACACAAGTACCGATGCGAGCGATCACCTGCTCCGATCGTCCACAACACGAATCTCACTGACACAAATCAAAGTTTTACTATACCAGGTGGCATCGTGTTGAAATAAAGTAATGGTCGCATATTCAAATTTAATCGAGCTTGAGGCTCGCGCGCAGCGCTTGAAACTCGGCTTCGATGCCAGCAATAAAGGCGGTCGGCGTTTGCTTGATCGACGTGTCCATGAGGACCGTGACGCCGAGCGACGCGCCCCACGACGTGATCGCGACGCCAACGTTGACACTCGGCGGCGGCGGTACGAACGCATACGAGGCCGAGACGCGCTTGCTGCAAAAGAAAATGTCCATCGGCGGCCCACGGACGTTCGTGATCGCGATCGACACGTTCGAGGCCGACCAGTGCACGCCGTGGCGCATGAGGTCGCGGGGCAAATTCATAATAAAGAGGCTCACAAGGCGCGTAAAGTTCTTCTCGAGCGAAAACTTGGCTTCGGCGAGACGCCGCGCCACAAGCGTCATGCGCGTCGACGGGTTGGCTTCTCCGATCGGCAAGTCGACTATGAGCGAGCTAAAGTCGTTGGACGTGGCGTCGATCGCGCGGAGGCCGCGCATGTTGACCGGGATCGCAGCGCGCAGCGAGAGCGACGGTGTGACCGGCGCATTCGACTCGGCTTCGATCGTCTTGCGCAGCGCGCCGGCAATGCACGAGACGAGCACGTCGTTGAGCGTCGCCTTGAAGTGCTTCCCGACGGCTTTCGTGTCGGCGATCGAAAAGGCCAGCGTATAGCCGAGCCGCTTGTGCGTATGGCCCGTCTGCTTGAGGACAGTTCGCGGTTCCGGGAAGAGGACCATGTTGGCAAACTTGCGCACATAGAGAAACGTCGACCAGAGAATCGATGCGAGCACGACGTAGAAGGGCGTGCGCGGCGGCTTGGTCGTGGGCGCGGCGACGGTCGGGAGGGCTGGCATCTCGGTGGCGTCGCTGAGCTTGAAGAGCGCGAGCGCGAGCGACGCACCGTCGCCAATGCAATGGTGGATGCGCCAGACGAGCCACGTCTGGTCGTTTTGGTGCAGCACCGTGATGGCCCAGAGCGGCAGCGACGGGTCGAGCTCCTTGTTGGCGAGCGACTCGGCCACGTCGTGCGGCGTCTCGTTGTCGACAAGGACGTGCTCGACAAAGTGGTGGTCGGCGTCAAACGTGGGGTCGACGACAAAGTTGCCGTCCTCGACACGCGAGATGAAGCGGTAAAAGAACGCCTTGTCCGAGCTCATGCGCTCCTGGAAGTGGGCGACGAGCGTCTCCCGGGCAACGATCCCGTCGAGGACTGTGATCGTGAGCGGAATCGACCGGTTTGAGTCGGTCTCGCTCTCCTTGGTCGCCCAGCCGAGCGTCGACATGCGACGCTTCAGGCGACCCTTGAGCGTCGGCGCGGCCTGGCGCGACCGGGCCACATGGAGAAAGGTGATGGCGATGGCTGCCAGCAGCACGACCCACTGGAAGAGCGAGGTGGCGTCCATGGTCAGCGGCAGTGGCAGAGACGAGACGAGCGCGGCTGCTGTGTCCATGCTGGTCGATTTGGATCTGGTAAGGTCGGGCCCGCCGAAATATAAGTTGTTGACGCAACAGGGGCGCCCGTTGACGCATCAGCGCGCTGTCGCAGGTGCCACGTACATCGTATCCGGATGTCGAAGATTTGAGAGGACCTACTAAAACGAATGTTTTTTGCTATATAGAAACGTATTTCGAGGGTCCCCTAAAACCCGAATCCGGGTGGCCAAAGACGTAGCGTCATTCCAAAAGGTACTTAACGGCATGTGGCAAGATATCCGTCAGGCGCAAAACGAGCACGTGCGTCCAACAAGAAAGTGTGCGCTCCCAATACGTTCGATGGATGACGAGACCCGTGCGGCGCGTCGCTATGATTACCCCTTGACAACAGGAATACCGACGGGCTCCTGCCTGATCCTGGCGTCCCTGGGTGCCCACAATCGTACGGTTGGCAACTCTTTTTAAACCAAAGTTCATAGCGCACGCAGTCATGCAAAGTAGCCGCGCACCGTGGGGGCGGTCAAGTCGATGGCATTCGATTTCGAAGAAATCCAAGTGAACTGAACGTTAAGATCTTTTTTGAATCTTTGTTGTGCCCGCGCTTGTTCTGCCGAGTCGGCCTCGAAAGCCATCGTGTAACCCAGCTGGTGGCGTGACATACGCCTGCCAAGTGATCACTGGATTTTCGTCCCGAGTTTCGAGTGCACCTTGCACACGATGGGCAGGCCGACGTCGGACGCACACCGATACCGGCGGTCACGCGCCGACGCCGTCGATCTACTGCCTCGTGTTTCTCAGTCTATAGGCTTCTTTTCTCTTGCTCTCGGTGCACGGCAGAGTGCACGGCTCCGCGTTCGGACGCATGTCTCGTGTCGTGTCAACAATGATGATCATGGGCTTGGCGCGCGGCTCATATCCTCGCAGGAATGTTCTTGGTGGCTTCAAGCGTCGTCTGTGCGGCTTTTGCGCTTCTTTTGTGGGGTGACTGGTAGGGGCATACTTCGCTACATGCAAGGCCTTGCTGTATTTACAAGAGCAGTAACGTTCGATGACCGAGTTGGGAGATAAGGACGACAGCCGAGTCGACTGGTCCACGCTGGTTATTCAAAAGGACGTGTATACCGTCCAAGGTGTCAATGGCCCAGAAAGGCGAGGTCGTCGTGCATAGCCAAGTCAATATTAGTGTCGAGGCGACAGCAGCGCTAATCGTGTGTTCGCGATTGCGCTACATGGTCACTGCATCAGCATCGATGCGATAGAAACAGCGCCGTCCTTGTGGCTTGATTCTCGAACCTGGGGAAAGGTACGACTGCCAGGTAGCCACCGTGTTGCGTCAACGCGATCGAGAGAAGCGTGCAAGTGCTGGCGCTGGATTCAGTCCCAATACCGGTACCAGCGCGGAATGTGCCATCGAGCCCAGACGCTGCCAGCCGTCCGTTCGGGTTCGAAATTTCTAAAAATAGAACACGGTTTTTCGAACCTGGCCGATTGGACGGTGGAGACAGCAGCACCTTTCTACGCTTGCCCTGCGGGTGACCGCCAAGTGTAGAGCTACGTGGCGGCTCAATATTGTGGCATACATACCAGTACATAGCTGCGTGGGCCACACATTGCTTGGGCCGCGTCCTTGAAGCGTCTATAAACAGTGCCTAGGCCCGCGAATACACTGCAATCTTCTAGCCTAGTACTCGATGTATATATAATCCTTGTAGACGTACGCAGTATACACCAAGGTGCGTACGCAGTATACACCAAGGTGCGAACACGGGGGTGGGAAGAATGGTTTGTTGCACGTTACGTGCTGAGCGCCAGGTCGAGGAGCTCGATCTTTCCCCTTTAAAGTGGCACATGCCACGAATAAACCCACGCAACCCTTCAAAAAGCAGCCAATCACACGCGAGCTCGTGGGCGAGATATGCCCAGCCGACCGACGCCGAGCCGACCAGAGGAGGTGCAGCACCTCATGGCCTCGGACGACAGCGCCCGCGACCATGGCCTCTTGCAACTACCAGACGGCAGCGCCATGCGTCTTCTCTACTTGCCGCCCGAGTACCGGTCGATCCGACACTACTGCCCACGCGTCATCAAGGCATTTGTCTACTATTTGGCCAGCGTCGCGACCTTTGGTATCTTGCCGCTGCTCGCGCACTGGTGGCCGTGGTTGTATGCAGCGACCAAGCTCAGTCTCGCGTCCACGGCGAGCGACTTTGTCGCTGCCGACTCGGTGCTCCTCGAAGCCGAAGCCTGTCCCGGGACGTACGACCTTGTGCCACTGCGCGTGGCGCCCGACGGCAGCGTCTCGTTCGAGTATCGAAAGAACCGGTATCTGTACGACAAGGATCTGCGCGAGTTTCATCGCCTCAGCGCGTCGATCGAGCAGCTGCCAGTGGCGACCGCGCTAAGCCGCCTGTCCCGAGGCTGGGGCGACGACAGCGTCGCGACGCTTCGCCAGACGTTTGGCGCCAACGGCATGGACCTCGGCGTGCTCCCAGTCGAGCGCGTCCTCCTTCAAAAGATGCTGCACCCGTTCTACGTCTTCCAAGGCGTCTCGGTGGTGCTCTGGCTGATCGAAATGTACTATACATACGCGATTCTCATTCTCCTGATGAGTCTCGGCTCGATCGCATACGAAGTCGCAACACAGATCAGCAACATGCGCAAGCTCCAAGCACTCGTGCACAACGACGCGGTCGTCCGTGTTGTCCGTGACGGTGACGTCACCGGCGTTCCCGCCGACGCCCTCGTGGTCGGCGGTACAACGACTGCACTTTGATGTTTGGATGTATATATCGTTAATGCTAGATGTCATCTTGCTCGACACGGGCGTCGTCCCTGCCGATATGGTCCTCCTGCATGGCGACTGCACGGTCGACGAGTCGTCGCTCACGGGCGAAGGTACGTCATGTGTCCTACCGACGGCTCGTACGACTGCGTCTAGCGATCCCGGTGCAGAAGCAAGCGCTCTCCGATCTCGCGGTTCTGCTTGGACCCAACCTCGTGGCGACGAAGAAGGAGTCGGTGCTCCACGCCGGTGCCGGTATCGTGCGCCACACGCTGAACGCCAAAGGACTCGTCTTGGCCACGGGTTTTTCAACGAGCAAAGGTGCGTAGTGCATGCCTTGACAAAGACGTGTTGCTACCTGCCGTAGGCGAGCTCTTTCGGTCCATCGTGTGCCCCAAGCCGGTTCAGTTCCAGATCGAAGCCGATACGTACCGGTTCCTCGCCGGTTTGACTCTTGTCGCGGTTCTTGCCGGGATCCAAAACGCTGTCGACGCGTGCGCTGAATGACGTGCGTGCGTCACTCATGTTGTGATTGGCGTAGCGCGGCGGCCGGCGTTGTCTGGTGGCGCATCCTCGTCTCGTCGCTCGATCTCATCACGATCGCGGTGCCGCCGGCGTTGCCACTCATTTTGACGGTCGGCGTCGGCTTCTCGCTGACGCGGCTGCAGCGCCAACGCATCTTTTGCATCGACGCACCGCGCATCAACCTCGCGGGCCACCTCGACTGCTACTGCTTTGACAAAACCGGCACGCTCACCACGGATGAAATGGTGTTTGATGGTGTCGACAGCCTGCGCAGTGCGCACCGGCGTCCGTCCGTTGACAGTATCGAACCCGTACCCATGGCGCCACCGATGCTTCGCACGGGGCTCGGGGTCTGCCACAGTGTCGCGTGGCAGGTCGACGGCGTCACCGGGAGCCCGCTCGAGCGCGAAATGCTCGTTGCGTCCGGGCACCGACTGGTGTCGGCGACCGACATCCAGTGCGACGCCACCGGTGTCCTCTACGAGCGCCTCCGGCAGTTTGCATTTGATGCCAGCGTCCAGCGGTCCAGCGTCGTCGTCCGAAACAAGGCTACCAATGAGTTGCGGGTCTTCACCAAGGTATACCGGTGCGCTTGACCCACGGCAACTGCAGTGTACGTAGGGCTCGCCCGAAGCCGTCGCCGCCGTTTGCGTACCGGCGTCACTACCGCCAACGTTTCAATCCAGTGTCGACCAGTATGCTCGCGACGGCTACTACTGCCTCGCCCTCGCCTACCGCGACATGGACGGTGTACCCACAGACGCCCAGCGCGACTCGGTCGAAGCCGACGTGCACTTGCTTGGACTCCTCCTCTTTCGGGTACGACCATCGCATACTGACGTGTCATTGGTTTATTCGAGTAGAACCCGATCAAAGACGAAGCGTTCGAGGTCGTTCGGACGCTCCAGCGGGCAGCCATCGACGTGCGCATGATCACGGGGGATAACGCGCTCACGGCTATTCACGGTACCGTGAAGACTGTACATCACAAAATGCGACCGGTGTCTAGTGTCGCGCAAACTGCAGTTGCTTGTCCGTCCCGTCTACCTGGTGGTACGCTCTTGGCACGTTGCATCGCGTCGGCATGTCGCGTAGGACGTTCACGCCATCGATGGCGTTGTCCTCGTCGATGTGAGTGCACCCGGACGCCCGCCGACGCCATTCGTGACCAGTCACCTCGAGCGAGGCGATGTCGCGGTACGTCTCACGTCGCCTGTCGAGGTGTTGCAACTGTGCTGCGTAGCTCACGGGGGCGGCTCTATTCGCGCTGCAGTCGGCGCTGCCCCCGACCGATGTGCACGCCATCGTGCTGCAGACCAAGATCTTTGCCCGCATCCGTCCGGACCAGAAGACGTGGATTATCGAGCAATTGATTCGAGCCGGGTACGGTCGTGGTTGTCCGCTCATGATCGTACATCGGCGACGTAGAAAGCATGTGGGTATGTGTGGCGACGGCACCAACGACTGCGGTGCCCTCAAGGCCGCCCACGTCGGTCTTGCGCTCTCGGACGCCGAAGCGTCGATTGGTACCGGCTTCGATGCTCGGCTCCGCGGTCAAATGTCGAATTAGTCGCGCCGTTTACGAGTCGAGACAAGAACATTGGGGACGTCGTGACGCTCGTGCAAGAAGGGCGATGTGCGCTCACGACGTCCTTTGTTGCGTTCAAGTACATGGTCATGTACCCGGTCGTTCAAGTCGTCTTGACGTCGACGCTGTATGCGTCGATGATTTCGCTGGGCAACAACCAGGTGCGACGACTGCGCTTGCCGTCGTTTCTAACTTGCAGCTAGTTTTTACTCGACGATATGGTGATCGTGCTCGGCCTCTCGATGCTCATGCTACAAACAGGCCCGTCGCGGGTGTTGACCCGCCACCGCCCACCCGAAACCCTCTTTGTACGTCGATCGTGATATCGGCGTCGGTGACATGGACCGTAACGTAGGCGCGTCCGATCGTGGCGTCCCTGGGCGGTCACGTTGTGCTGTATGTGCTGTGCTTTACACTCCTACGACTCGTTTTGGTCGCCGAGCCGTGGTATTGCACCGTCGACGAAGCCAAGACGCGGATGCGAGCACAGTGCTTCACCTACGTCGCACCGGACAACGACGGGTACACGCGGCAGTCGTACGAGAACACGGTGTTGTGGCTCTACGGCCACTGGGCGTTTGTGCTCTTGGCCATCGCCATGAACATCAAGGACCCGTTCCGACAGTCGGCGTGGAGCGCCAACCGTCCGTTCCTCGCGTACGTTGTGGGGATGGTGCTGCTGCTCGTGCTGCTCACGCTCACCTCGGCGCCCACTGTCTTGTCGTACGAAGTCTCGTTGGTTCATGGCCACTGCACAGTTTGATTGCGTAGGGCATTCGAGCTGGTTGCGATCCCCGCCGAGTTTCGGTGGGAGATTCTCGGGGTCGTCGCATGCCACGGCGTCGGCGCCGTGGTGTGGGAGCGCTTTGCGACCCGACACCGCGCTATGGACGAAGACGCGCCACGTCTGACGTCGTCGCCCATCGTGGTCTAAGTATACAGAATACATTCGAAGCGGTACTATCCGTCCATCACCGACTTGGGAACTGGCCGCAATTTGGCTTGTGTGGCGCTACGGCGATGGTCCGTCGACGAATGAGTACTCGTCATGCGTGAAAAAGGCACCGTACAAGATAAAATTATCAAGTTGATACATGCAAGGTACTACGCAGCCTCGACCGTCCATAGCTGCTTTTGGTTTGAAGAATCGCACGGGGCTACACCAGCGGTCTTGTCGCCCTTGTCGACCAGACACTGCGTAAGGTACGTGATGTGTTGAATCGGGTTGGCGCCCGACACGGTGACGTTCCAGTTTTGGTTGCCGTTGTTGAGGTTGCACGGGTACGTGTGGAGGTGGTACGCGAGCGACGTGTCCTGGTAGACGTCGAGGCACTCCATGTTGCTCTGCACTTGCAGCGTCTTGGCGCTGGCGTCGTAGCGGAAGACTTCGTTGCGGTTGCGCTTCAGTGTGTTGGCGAACAGGCCCGTGAAATACTCGGAGAGGTAGTTGTCGCCCGACCGAAGCCGCACCGACGTCGGCGGCGTCGATTGGTCGCATGAGCCAAAGTACTGCGGCGTCGTGGGTTTATCGGTGCACGGTGCCACTCCGACAGCTACGGCGGCTTGATTAGGCACGTACGTCAAGCAGTAATCGAAGGTGCCAGCACGACTCTTGATGACATTGCCCGCGATCGACCACTGCTGCGCGTCGCCTCCAGTGCACGGATCTGTACGAACGTACGGCGTCGAAGTCTCCGTGAAGAGTGTCAGGCAGGTGTTGCCGCTCTTGGAGATGATGAAGTTGTTGTTTGCGTCGAAGTCGAACAACTCGTTGGCGTTGCCTTGCACAAAGTTGACGTACAGCCCGCCGTAGAATTCTGAGAGGATGAACTGACCACCCGACGTGCAAAACCGCTTCGGCATAAGGTTTGGTGACATCGTGGGCGAGACACTTGGT